TTATTATTATTATTATTATTATTATTATTATTATTATTATTTCATAAAGAAGTATTGCTTTGGTGTCGGGGTGTTTTAGGCTGCTTATTTAAGTATGCTACTCTGACACGTTTACTATAATGCTATTAAACTTTGCATGCTGGTTCAGAATTTTAGGATTAAACAGGAAGTACAGTGAAGGTTGGGTAAAGATGAGAAAAGTTTACAGTTTTCTCATAGTAGTGGCAAATAAAAAGATAAATAGTCAGGGACCACTAAACCTGTCACGTTTGTATTAAGGAGTAATGAAACAATCTTGTGCTGATCCACTGAGGAGATGTTGACATATTTCAGAGGGTGTATGAAGGACTAGAGGCAACAAATGAAAAGATTAGTGGATCATGAAGCTCTCTGGGCAAATGATCATCTTCACCAAATGTCACAGCAATTCATCCAGTGACTGTCAGGACATTTCACTAAAAGAAAACAAGGCGAGGCTGCAAACAGCTGAGGAAAAAATCRGGTGATTATCAACGTCAGGCCTGGAGACAACGAATTTATGTATGATTGAACGTTTAAATCAGCATGGATAGAAGAAGCTGCTGAATCTATTCCCTATAGATTTTTCCATGCTGCATCACATAACTTGTCTTTAAGCTATAATTGCAATGTGCTGACACACTTTTCAGCTCTTTACTGGCAATATCACAAATTAGAGAAGATAACATTTGCTCTTCAGAGGCCCGACTTGAGGTTTTATGCGATTTGACACCTTTATGGAAGCCTGAGAAAAAAAAGTGTGACCTTATAATGTGTGAAACCCTCTGACTTGTTCAGCTGTGGAGGTGCACTTAGGACTTTTTTTTCTTTTGGTTCTCCTTTCACTCCACACTGAAAAAAAAAAGAATTTTTGGGTGTAGTAACATTTATTTAACTATTCTTTTAAATTTTACAAAAAAAATCAACACTTCTAAACTACTAGAATTTACTAAATAAACAATATGCATTATATTATATATCAATACTACTGAACACAAAAAGTAAATGCTAATATAATTTTACCAGTAATATT